CCTCTGTTGACTAAAGCTGTAGATGGAGAGCTTCTTTACTTGTACTTGGGGATTTCAGATGAGGCCATTAGTTCAGTTCTGGTGAGAGAAGAAGCTAAGCAGCAGAAACCAATTTATTATATCAGCAGTGTGCTGCACGGAGCAGAGCTGAGATATCCTATAGCTGAGAAAGCAGCATTAGCAGTCGTCACTTCGGCCAGGAAGTTGAGGCTATATTTCCAGTCACACCCAATTATCGTTCTCACCGACCAACCTCTCAGGCAGATTCTGCAGAAACCAGAGTGCTCTGGAAGATTAATTAAGTGGGCAGTAGAGCTGGGAGAGTTTGAGATAACATTTTAGCAAAGATCGGCCATCCGAGCTCAAGCATTAGCAGATTTTATTGTCGAATGCACCCCATGTCCTTCAAACTCTAATCCAAAGCCCAACGACTAGACCTTATATGTTGATGGAGCATCTAGTAGCAAGGGTTCAGGGGCTGGCGCTCTCTTGCTTGGTCCAGAGGGATACCGAAGCAAACATGCTCTGAAGTTCAATTTTGATGCAACAAATAACATGGCTGAGTATGAAGCTCTGCTACTTGGTCTACAACTAGCATTGCAGTTGCAAATCAGTGTAATTCAAGTATACAGCGATTTCCAGTTGGTGGTAAACCAAATCAACTCAATCTGTGAAGTTGTTGATCCTGTGATGGTAAAATACGTAGCCTTGGTGGCCGAGCTGAAGTGCAGATTCCAAAAATTCTGTCTGAGTAAAATCCCCCGAGCTGAGAATGAACAGGCAGATTCACTCTCCAAGTTTGCCTCTGACAGCTCTTTGAGTTCCAGATCCGTTTTTGTAGAGATTTTAGATGAACCAAGCTTCATGAAGCCTCGGATGATGGAGATTAGCACAAACCCTGACACACCGAGCTAGACTGACTCAATTATCTCCTTTTTGCGAAATGGAATAGTACCTGAGGACAGACAAGAGGCGATGAAGTTGAGGAAGAAAGCATCTCGGTATACACTTGTTGATGGGGTCCTCTATAAGAGATCTTTTTCACTTCCTCTTTTGCGATGTTTGAATCCCTACGAAACCGAGTACGCACTTCGAGAGGTACATGAAGGTGTCTGTGGGAGCCACGTCGGTGCTAGAACTCTGGCTCACAAAGTCTTAAGGCAAGGATATTATTGGCCAAACATGTATAAGGATGCCACTCACTTTGTTCAGAAATGTCCGAGGTGCCAATTCTTCGCACATCTGACTCACCAACCTGCAGAAGAACTCACGAACTTGGTCGCACCATGGCCATTTGCACAGTGGGGACTAGATCTTTTAGGTTCATTCGTGAAAGGGGTTGGTGGCGTAACCCATCTGGTTGTTGGTGTGGATTATTTCACAAAGTGGGTTGAAGCTCGGCCTTTATCTAGTCTTACCTCCAAGAAGGTCGAAGATTTCGTTTTTAGCTCGATCATCTGCAGATATGGAATCCCGAATCAAATTGTGGCTGATAATGGAACTCAATTCAATTGCTTCTCATTTCGAGATTTCTGTTCCAGTTATGGGATCAAGGTACAGTTCACCTCCGTCTACCATCCGGAGTCCAATGGCATGGTGGAATCTGTTAACAAATCCATTTTGGAAGGTATAAGGCCGAGATTAGAGTAGCATAAGGCCAAGTGGGCAGACGAGCTCAACAACGTCCTCTGGGCATACAGAACCACGAGCCGAACTGCCACAGGTACTACTTTAAACCAAGTTTATTTGATTAATTTCTATAGTATTTTACTTCTTCTGTTACGCTTTACCTTAGAGCAAATATGCATAATGCATAAAGCGCATTCTAAAGTTATAATTAACTGAAATAGGTGAAACACCCTACCACTTAGCCTTTGGTACTGAAGCAATCATTCCTGTTGAAATAGGAGTCCCAAGCTTCCGGGTCACCCATTTCGATGAAGGGCGAAATGGACAACTGCTTCGAGAAAACCTTGATCTGCTTGCTGAAGTTAGAGAAGAAGCTCGTCTTCGAACTCTTGTATACAAGCAGAAGCTAGCCAACTTCTACAATAAACGGGTCCGCCCTCGAGCTTTCAAAGTAGGAGACCTTGTTCTCAGAAAAGCTGGCCTAACA